GACTATGACGTGAATCAGCATAGAGTGGACATAGGAACCATCTAGTACATAATCGACAATGGCCCCAAAGATATATGTGCCAAGAGTCCTGGGGCACACTGGAGCAAGTCCATTGATGTCTTGTCAAGGATACTGGTTGCAAAGTGATCGATCTTCATCTTAAAAAAAAAACACATCAGGGGAAGCATCATAAATAAGTAGTGAGATGACATTTGGTCTGATACTACGGGATCAGCCTGTTGTCAACAGATAGTGCATTATTCGTCCATATATGTAGTAGGTCATAGTATGTGATATAGGAATAGTGAATCGTAGTATGGTTCAAGATAATGTGATATAGAAATAAGTGGCTAGGGCAAATGGACTGTAAATTGTATATGAATAGGCCAAGAGTGGTTTTCACAGGCAAAAAACATCCAGCGGAAGCACCTTGGATACATAATAGTATGGACAAGTGAGGTCTGACTGGGAAAAAACATCTTGGGATATGTCAGATTATGTCAAGTGAAGTTCTTCCAGGCAGAAAACATCCATTAGAAGTGCCTTGCATATGATACAGAGATCAACAAGTGCAGTCTCTCCAGGCAAAACTCAGGGGTAAGCACTTTCAATATATAGAATTAGTCCAAGTGGGGGTCCACCCAGGTGAAGTGCCTTGGGATTCTACTGGGTAAGTCAGGTGTGGTCCAACCGGGCAGAAACATCCAGTGGAAGCACCTAGCATAAACATGTATATTATGATCAACAGTCAAAACTTCCAGGGGAATAGCCTTGGATCCAGAATAGTATGTTATTGTCTATTTAATAATTATAACAAAAACAGCCCTCTTCTTACTGAGTGGGTACTTATAACTTACAAGATTGATTTTCTTCATTGTACAACCACATTCAGGAGGAAACCTTTGTGATCCACCACTACAATAACTGGGAACCAGAGTGGTAAGGACTTCTGTGATCCACTAGAAGAAAAAAAAAGGGGGGATATGTGTTGGTGAGTCTGGAGGAATAACATACTGGAAACTGTGCAATGGGTGTCTGTGATTCCCTGTTTTAAAAAGCAGAAAACCCAGATTGTAAGAATTAGTGTCCTGTGGTCTTACTGAAACACACCATTTCTCCTGTGGAGGTTTAGAAATATACAGATTTAGTACAAACATCTAATATTCAGCATACCTGACCAGGCAACATCCACCACTAGGTGGGATCTTGAAATATGATCTATATCAACTGAAAAAGATACCAAATAAAAGGTCAACTTACCCCAGTTAAAGGCGAACAGACGTGTGAAGAATCACCACAGGAGGAAGTTGATACCCAATTGAGGAAGATACAGCCAAATTGTGCAGATAGTGTGCTACAATGTATTGGGAGTCATCCACACACCCTATTGAAAGATCTCCTCTGAAGGTCGATGGATTCAAGCAGCTAAGGACATAGTTAAGTAACAGAGTTGGTACGATGAAAGGTGCAGCCAGCAACCTTCAATGGACAAGTCAGAATATGCTAGCCATATGTGTTGACGAACCCAGTCAGTAAGGGTAACAGGAGATAGGCCCCAGGAGACAGAGGGATTCCATGGAATGGGATCCATGAAAAGAGGCAGTACAATACACATATCAACACAGGGAATGCATAAGACGGAAAAATGATCCAAATCCGAACATGAGTACATGTGGGAAATAGACGGTAAGAAAATGGGAGAAAAGGAGAAACAAATCTTCATGGGCAGCAGCTATCTTAAGAAGGAAGGCCTGATCTGGTTAAAAGATAATATAAGAGGAATGGTAAACGATATGGGAAACATTAATGGCATAAACATTGTAAATATGACAACCACATGCCAGGAGGAGAAGGAAATAGGTCTTAAGGGAAAGATGGTACAAGTAAAACGTAGCAGTGAGTTCAAAGGGAGAATCAGACATGGTAGAAAGGACACCACTGGGATCCCAATCTGGAAGAACAAAAGGATGTAGAGAAAAAACAAGACAAAAGGAACAAAAAAAAATCAGGGAGGCAAAAGCTTTACGGAGTCAACAGAAATGGAATGTATTTGACAGAGTAGCCCGATAACTAACAACCGTTGACATGGACAAACTCTGATCAAACAGCCAGGTAACAAATTGGGACAGATGAGGAACAGAAGGATGAGAAAGATGACAAAAGCCATGCGTGAAGATGGAATTTGGTGACGTCTAGATGAAATACATCTGATCATGGTTGTCAGAGCAGAAACCTGGACAGAGGCAAGAGCAGACACACCTTACCTCCTTGAAATATTGGTTCAAAAGAAAGAAATAGCATCCAAGTCCATTAAAATGGCTGAGAAAGCCACTAGGGGGACATTATGAGCTTCTGATTGTTTATTCATGTCATACATAAAAGTAAGTGTATATAAGGGAGCATTTCCAAAAGTGGAAAGAGGTGGGTGGGGTGCCACTGTATTTGATTTATTACATGAGCATTATCTTAGCAAATAGAAAAGATAAGATGTTCTTATTTTATATTCTAGCTTTTCAATACCAGTAATTTGAGTTTCTAATTCATACAAAACTACAGACTTAGTATTTTGGCATCACGACCATCTAATTTGAACCAGTGCTGCATTCAACATACCACGTGACACACAAAAATCGATATTTATCTGTGTCTTTTAATATTTACTTTTAAATTAAGAAATGTATAGTACTAAAATCTGAATTACAATCTACAGTTTGATACCAAACTTACTGACATAATTCATGAAATAGTAGTTCAATAAAATTTTGAACTCAAATCAACAAATGGCCTTTCACCTGTGACCTGTCTCGAAAAGGTCAATAGTCACACCACTACTTGTGGAATTGTTTGCTTGAAAATGTGGTTTGTACAGTAAGACTGAATTATTTTACATTTTCATTAGGTATATACATGCCTACACTGACTTTAATGTTTCACTGGTAAAAGATGACCTTGATGAGCATTTTTGTTACCTTATATTTTAGGTCAGGCAGCTTAAAATCATTGTCTGAAGAAATCTTTACTTATTACTACTACACTAAATAAGGTTAAATATTTTTATAATATGAATTTTGATGGTAACAGTGCATTTATTTGAATGTCCAGGATTCACCTACTTAAATTTTCATAGCAAAAATGAACTCGCAACATCCTGCCATTAAGTTCACTTTCAAGGTTGAAAATAATAATAATTTACATTTTTTGACATCCTCATTAACCGTAACACTAGCAGGTTTGGCACATCAATATATAGAATTAAGAAATTTGGTAACATATTTATTAAACAGAGCTTATAACTTGTTTTCTACGTACTTTAATTTACACACTGAAATTTAGCTCATACAGGATACCTTAAAACATAATGGCTACCCACAACATCTATTACAAAAAATTACTAATACTTTTCTAAGAAACTCGCTAATCTACCCAGACTACCAACTGCACCCAAAATTATAATGTACTTTTGTCTTCCATACATTGGTAAACAAAGCTTCACTTTAAAAAGTCAAATTAAACATTATTCATTGTTACTACCCTCAAGTTGATTTCTGATTAGTTTTTAAACCCACATCCTGCATGCTAGATATTTTCCCTACTAAAGACCTTCTCCCAATTTTTCTCTGTTCTTGGCTTGTATATATTTACATATGTGGAAACTGTAAAGCCTCCTACACTGGCAAAACCAAATGCCATCTACTAGCTAGAGCCAATGAACATATGGGAATTTTCATGAAAATACAAAAAAGTTGAGTAACTCCTGTGTTTCCTCTATACACAACATAGTGAAGAAACATGACATGAACTTAACAGGTTTCAATATCCTTTGCAAAAGCAACACTGATCTTGAATTACTGGTTTAAGAAAGCATCAACATCAAACAACTTTCTTCACCAACACTGAACAACATGCAGTCTTCCTTTAAATAGTACATTTTCTAAAATGTACAGCATTTTTTGTTATTCTTAGGATGTTTCTCATTATTTTTTCATAAAATAGAAAAGAAAAAAAACATTGAAAAGGAAAATATATATTTCTGTCCCATACTAAAGTACCTGAATTTCTTCATTGGTTCCTTTTCAGGTTTTTTTTTTTTTCCACTTCCAATTTTATTATGAAGAACAATGATAAACATCAGGAAATATATATTTTATCTCCTTTAAGAAAGAACTAATATTCTATTCCTATTCAGTGTTTAGTAAATCTACTGGTACCAGTAGTAGCAATATGTTAATCATATCAACATTATCACTATATAGTATATCAATATCATTAGTGTATCAGAACTATGGTCAGTTATTCTAAAGGTGGGCAAAAAGTTTGGGCACCCCCATATTTAAAGCTCATGTTAACAATTTAGTTTTTCGCATTTTACTTTTAGTAATGATTGTGGCAAAGGAACGATATGAAACAACTGACGTTTTGAAACAAAGAACTGTTGAAAGTTTCATTACGGTCACCCCTAATATTAATACTAGTAATATGCTAAGAAGAATGTCGCATCGTCTCATGTTATGAAAATGAAGGCCAACAGACATTTTGGACTATTAATCAAACCTTTCGTTAGTCTGTGTCAATATATGTAAATATATTAATGTGCAATAAGTTCTTTCTTTCATGTATACTATCTTTATTTGAGAGAGGGTTATCCAGACTTTTTGCCCACCCTGTATTTTCTAATGTTAGGCTTAATAATGACTTAGTTTCAGCATTTTACGAGTCTATGACGCCTCCTACAGGTAATACTACTACTAGTAATACTAATAGTATAACTTCTTACAACTAAATTATCATATACTGAGCAGAATTTCGAAACACAAGCATGCCAAATGTGAATTAATATGGAATGGTTTGCTCTACCGTTATCAATTATATTTATAAACCTACATTAATTTTTGTGTAGCTAGTGAAATTTACAAATTACATGATTCACAGAAAATAGAAATAACCTACCATAAAAAAATGAAATTTATAAGGTTAACATATTATAATTTTATAAAACTTACCCGTTTGTAAGTTCTTAATATTATTACATTTCTTGTCATTCTGCTCTTTTATTGGAGTATAATTTCGTCTGTAATTTAAATTGAGCCAAAATATGTTTAGGCCTCAAAAGAACTTGCATTATTGAAGAAAGAGGGAATGACCTTAAAGTTTATAATAAAGAGGGCGTATAAATCACACGAAGGTATTAAGATTTGATATAACATTTAACTTATTTTCAGTAATATTTGCTCAAATTAGCAAAATTACACACAATAGTAATTTAAAACAAACAATAACAGGTTTCATGAATATCCTGTTTTCACCATTTATGTTTCTTATAAAGTTACTAGAAGTAGTACTCATCATCAATTTTTTATTTTACATAAAACATACGAATATAGTTAGGCATTTGAAATACTTTTTCCCTCGATTCTTTATAAATTTTACACGAGAATAAATATAATATAATGCAAAACACGTAATTTGTTATCTTGGCAACTTATAAATTCTTTTGTGCTAAATGCATTAGTAACTTTGAAAGGAATTTCAAGATGTTTAATTGTAGCAAACACATGTATGCTAGTGCGAAATATTTCAGTATTTTCTCTTTGTTTAAGTGACACAGACTTTTAAAGCTTTTCGGTTATTTAGTTTCCATGCTGTAATGGTGGCAAAATGTGATCCAGAAAGTCGATAAGATTGCCTTGTTCTAGTTGCTTTGTTTCTTTATAATCTATAATAGTGTTGCGGCAGCGAGGTCACGTGACTAGTATCACGTCACGTCCGTCTAGAAATATCCTGTTCCTTCATGAATGCTCTAGCGTTTACTAGATATGTGTTAGTCTTGTATATATAAGACGGTCACAACGTGATGGAGTAGTGTGTGTAACTGAACTGAGTATTGTTGAGTCGAGCACGAGCACGAGCACGTGAGACGTTCGTTGAAAATTATAGCGTTTCTTATAGAGCGACTGTTGAAATTAAGTGTATCGTAAAGTTGTATTCGGAAAGAATAAACCAGTTGTTGCGTCAGGGAGGTCACGTGACTAGTATCACGCCACATCCTTCTAGAAATATCCTGTTCCTTCGTGAATTGTCGGGA